TGCGTTTCGCCGACTCATGGGAGAGAGTGCATCACTGTGTACAGGAGGCCTGTAGGGGTTGTTGGGCTTAGAGGGCAATGTAAGTATTTGATTTCCGTTGTTTAAGGGATCTTCAGGGCGTCCCTGGTTGATCCTGGCCCTATTTAGGGGGTTCCCGAAGTTGCTTTAGTTCGGGTTAACAACGCCTTGGTCGTTGCGAGAAGAAGGCGGGGGGGGTCCACAGTGAGAGCCACCTTCCCAGATGAACGAAGAGGCAGCTTGGGGCTTGAGGCTTGGGGGGGGGGGGGTGGCTGGAGCTTTTCGTAGGGAAAGCTCTGACGCCTCCCGGTCCAGAACATCTTATGTGCGTCTTGTGCGTAAGCATTACAAGGCGTCTTAGGCCCTTTTGTAAACGCGCGCGGCGGCCGCCAACGGCAGAGGGTCCTTGGATGTCTTTGGCGTCTCTATTCGAAGCAGCTCAGGAGTCTGTAACCAGGGAGGGGAGCAGTCAGGCTTTTCAGTGGGGCTTGGTGGCTCAATTTACATGGCTCAGTAGCTCACGCACAGAGAATCCATGAGAACTTCCTGGGTGGCCTAGAGGGTTTCTCCCTTACTGTAGGGCAAAGTTGGAACTGGCAGGAAGGGGGCGCAGGGGTGTGTTTTCACGGAAGGGGTGAGAGAAGGGAACCTCCGATGCTTCCGGTGGCAAAGGCGAACCAGAACTTCCTCAGGCTTAGATTGAGAAACGCCTCACTCACCTTCATGTAGGACTGATAGGGCATGGCGAGCTCCGAGCATGGAGACTGAGGCCCCCGCAAAGCGCGGTGCTCCTCCAGAACCCAGGCAAGAAGTTGGGGGAGGGGGGGGGTGGGGGATTCCAAAGGAAAGGGTCAGCTCAACCAGCCTTGAGCCAGCTGCGTGGTGTGTGTGTGGGGGAAGGTTTCAGCATTCCTGCATCTTCCTGGACTCCAAGCTCTTGATCGTCGGCGGGCGTGGGCCAGAGGTCAATAAGTCCCTCGGCCCGAAACCGCAAAAACACCTGCAAGAAGTTCGCAGCAGAAAATCAATGAGGGGAGCCAGCAGCGCTCTGAGTCGCACTTGGCACTCGCCGCGCCCAGGATTTTGCCCACCGCTGTCTATGACACAGAGACCTGCGAGTGGCACAATCTTTGTAGTCTCCAGAGATTCCGACACTCCTCTTGGGGTGCTGCTGCCATGTGTTTCTCTCAAATCTCAAACTTGCACAGAGGCCCGCACAGGCTTTGCAGACGTGAAGCATCTCGGAGGAATGGGCACCCTCCTCTTCTCGTATGGCGGCTTCGACCACAAGAATCCGTGGAGCTCCAAGCACACTCTCTTCACTCTCTTCACTTCCGTTCTGCTTGGACTGCCCTTCGCTCTGTCTTCTGTTCTCCACATTCTCCTGACTGGAGCCATGCTGAGCTCATGGCCATGGTCCAGCAGCCCAAAGCCAAGGTCTGCACCGACTTCAGATCTGCAGGCCATTTTGAAAAGGGGAAGGGCACCAAAAAACCCGACATAGGAAGGCAGTTGCTTCGAAGAGTGTTTGTGAGCTTCAGGTCATGGACATCGAAGTGGCCATCGCGGCATCCCAAAGTGGCGTTGTCGCGAAGGGCGAAGAGGCTCTCTCTCTCTCTCTCTCTCTCTCTCTACTAACCACTGCTACCTCTCCTGCTCTTATTCGAGTCTCTTGAGATTCTGGTTCACCCTCTCCCCTCTGCTCCTTGCTATATGAAAACCATCATCTTTGGGTGAGAGTCTTGGGCACAGGCAGAAGCCACGGAAACTAGCTTGGAGGCAGCTTTTGCTTAGCCTCTGGTAGAAAGAATTTGGTCGGATGTAGTCTGCTTTTCGGAGGCTGCAACGGCTCCAGCAGGCACGCTGGACCTTGCACCGCCGAACTACCCAGGCTGGGATCAGAAAGTCGACGCGGGAAAAACGGGGGAGGAAAGGAAGAGGAGGCAGAAGGAAAGGCAGGAAGAGAGAGAGATGGGAAGTCGGGGGAAAAGGAGGGGGGGGTGGGCCTCAGAGAGAGAGGAGACGGCTCAATTCCTCCGCAGGAAGCTCGAAAGCACGGGAGACGCGGCCTGCCTGGCTCTCGTGCGTGCAGCGAGAGTGTGAAGACAAAACTGAGCTGTTTTTGTGCGATGAGTCGATGAGTCGTGGGGACTGTCTTGCGATGCTCTCATGAGGCCTTTAAGAAGGCTCCCTTGCCCTTGCTTGCTTAGGGCACCTCGGACGGGACGCGACCGGCAACACCGCCCCGGAGCCGCCTGGGACCTGAGCTCCAAAACGAGAGCTCCTCAAAGTTTGAAGCCCCTAAAACGTCCCTCACATAGGCCCAAGACTGGAAGAAGTCTTCAACGAATGTTCGAAGCCTAAGGAGCTTTGGCGACAGCTCCGGCCAGCCGCGGCGTAGTCAGCCCCAGACCGCACACATCCTCTCGCGGCCTTATCCCTGAAGACCCTAAGCTCTATCTTTAAGAAGTTGATGCGTTTCTTCTTTTCAATATTTGTGTTTTGCAGTGGCTGTAACTGATTCATACCTGCGCTTTTGCTGCTCGCCGCTGCCCAGGTGGATCTAACCCCTGGCGACGTCAAAGTGTCACCGCAGGCTGTTCAAAGTGAAACATGTGACAACCCCGTTCTCTGGCCTAGTCTGGTGGCTGTGGGCGGGGCCCTTGCCGCAAGGGATGAAGACTCGTACCCTAAGGTTGTACCCCTAAAGGTTCCCCTCAATATGGCCCTTATTCTACCTTGAGGACCTTGAAAAAGGATTCCCAAAATCCAAGGGTACAACCTTAAGGGTCCAAGGTACACTCCCTACATTGCCAGGTGTACGTCAGCCATGAAAAAGATTTCACGCACTTGGTCGAAAAGGTGGGGGAGCTTTGGCTGACAGGGTGCATCAGGGACCCTCCCTGCTGCCACAGGTTAATATCGAGTCCCTCGCAGAAGAGGGCGGGTACCCTTAGCAAGCCTTTCTGCGACTTGTTCGGTGCGTATAGGTGTAAAGGGTACCCGGGATCTGTGCAAAATCGGTGTCGAGGTCGGAAGATCCACTCCTCCAACGTGATGGCGAACATCGCCAGCAAACCTGTGGCCTACGCATGCTTGACCGTTTTAGTGTAAGAGCAGACCTGGCACCCGTTTTGCACTTGCGGGGCTGTTACAGGGAGACGAGGGGATCCACACTCACGTTATCAACGAACTGCTGCAGTCGGGGGCCCAGGGCTTCACTGTTGACTTAAAAACACCTCCTTTTCTCAGGCCCTGCTCTATTCAACAACTTGGGGGGGGGGGGGGGGGGGGGGGGGGGGACTCTTCGCTGCCTTCGTCTCTTCTCAGGGCTTCGGGTCCCTTGCCTCCCTCCCTTCCCCTGCCATGCCATGCCAGTGTAGGCCCAGTAGGCCCAGAGTAGGCAGCTTCGCAGCTTCACTTTTGGGAAGAACCAGTACTAAATCACTTCGGGGAAAGGGGAGGGGCTCGTGACGTGTTGGCTTGCAGCATGGAGGATTAACCGCTTGCTGCGAGCGTATCTGCCACCGACTCCTAACTCACATTGCCCAACGCGCATCTACCCGGCGAAGTCAAGCAAAAGCATTGCCCCCCCGTCCTGTCTCGCTTGAGACTCGAGTCTCGCAGCACCAAAAGAAAAGACTTCTCAAGACCTTTCCAGTAGGAAGGGAACTGAATTGTAAGGTGAAAGTTTCCGAGACACACGAATTTCCCCTGCACACTGATCTCAACCTGAGAGACATCGGGCGCAGCAGCATGGGCCAACTAGGACCATCAAGTTTCACAGCTTTTGCACCCGAAGACGAAGACGAAGGTGAAGGCCGGATGGACGCATTTTCGATCAGCGTGGGCTCAGCTGCAGAAAGTGGCCTGGTGGGTAGCTGTGGGTAGCCGTGGGTAGCTCTCTGCTGCGACTCGAAGAGTAGGAAAGAATGTTTCTCTGTTGCGGGAAATGTTTAGAGTGGACCAATGTCGACCAATGACCCTTTTAGCAGCTGTTTAGACTGTGCACTAGGAATGCAAAGTGTTCGGGGCCGGTTAGGAGTGTAAGAACATGTTGGCGAAGTGTCCACGTACAATGGATGCCAATAGTTGTCCGTGTGCATCTTTCTATCCAGAATTGAAACAAATCAGTTGCTGAGAGCTCTCTGCGCTGTCTATGGAGAGGAGCGCCCAAAAACAAGCGCCCAAAAACAAAACCAGCAACAAACACGTTTTAATATTTACTCATGCACAGCTGCATCCCGAGCATACAGGGAAGCGCTTGGATGCTGCCACTAAAACGGGGCCGGTGCTTGTCATTGTTTTTGAGGGGGTCCATGCTTTGCCTCTGTGAGCTCATATGTCCGTGGATCCAGATGCTTTATTTGAACTTTGGACCATATCCCAAGGCACTGCCCGATTGGCCGGGATAAATTTGGTCCCCATGTACGAGGGGATTATCCCAAAAACGGCGGAACAATGCACAGGAACTGACGAAGCACAGGAAAAAGTGCAGCTTTCTCGTCTATACGGTACGTGGAGGTACAGTCAGTGCTTGGCAGAGTCTTTTGCCCTCTGCCTCGAGCCTGATTCTCGGACAGTTTCTGAGGCCAACTACGTGGCAGCCAGATGCAAACCCAAACAGCTTCTTCCTGAATGCTGCGGAGGCGGAGGGGGGAGGGCTAGTCGGGGTAGCCGTAAGGGAGAAAAAAGTTCGAACCGCACATGGTGTGCAGAGTAGCGCACGTGCATTGGCAATGGCCGCGGGCCTTGTACCTGGTTTCCGCGGGGTGTGTGTTCAGGTGAGTCGGCTCTGCGACCTGACTTTGGAGGTGGCTCTCGTTCCATGCTTCTTTTTTTGGGGTGTGCTCTTTTCTTTTTTGAAGTCGCCAATTAAAACTCCAGTTGCCTAAGCTGCCCCGGAATCTTCAGCCCTCTTTTTGTCCCAGGTGCTGAGGTCCCAAGAGATGGTGCTGCGACTGCGGGCTCCTATCAAGGCTGCTTCGGAGCTCTGGGAGCGTCGTCTTTTGCTCTCCCTCCCTCCCTCCCCTCCCCTCCCCTCCCTGCCTCTCCCTCCCTCCCTCCCTCCTTCCCTCCTTCTCGCTCGCACGAAAAAGGACCAAGTGAAACAAAAAGAGAAGCCATGTAAAGTGTAAAGTTAGGTTAAGTCAGCAGTTTTCACGTGTGGCACTTCTCCCGTCCTTTAGCCCCACTCCAGTGGCTGCAGAGGTCTATGGCGACATCCATGGGCAGTTCTTAGACCTCATGCGCCTGTTTTCCAGGCCCGAGACTCGACCTTCTTTGAGATGAGGGCATGAGGGCAGAGCCGAGTGAGTTTTCTGAGTTTTCTTCTTAAACTCAGGTACAAGGCCCCCTGGGATGGTGACAACGGTGACATTGCTGGTTGCTCAGGCATACTGAGGCATACTGAGGCATACTGAGGCATACTAGACAGGGCCACTGGAGGGTGCACTCTTCTACGTGCTGAGGACTCAATGGACTATCTCTTCCTGGGCGATTTCGTAGTCGGCTCCCCAGTCCCCAGCACCAAACATGCTGCACCACGTTGCATTCTGTCGCATTATGTTGCCCACATGCGGTGTGCTGATCACCGTTCAGAGACCCTTCTGTTGTCTGCTCTGTCAAGTCATTCAAGTCAACCGAGGATCGCGGCGCCTTCTCGCTGGAGACCGTTTGTCTTCTGTTCTCACTGAAGGCGAGATCACTTGAGGATTGAAAAAAGGTACAACAAGCAAAGAGTTCAGCACCCTTCAAACGCGGTGCAGTCGGAGAGGTGAAGTATCCCAACCAGATACATCTGATCCGGGGGAACCATGAGGCGCTTATGGCAGAATCGCTGCAAACAGTATCTGCAGCAGCAGACGATCCGAAGGACCCAACCATTAACGCAATCTACGGCTTCCGCGATGAGTGCCGGCGTCGCCTGAACGAGGACCCCCTTCTGTGTTTTCCGGGGGAGAAGTCAGTGAAGCCTGGGTGAGATGTCTCTTTGCATTGCATGGCGCTTCATCGCCGCCAAAGCCGCCAAAATTCCAAGGAGCCCGAGGATCCCGAGTCCTGCTGGAACAAGTTCAACAGAGCCGTGCCAGCCAAACTTGAGAGGGGGGAGTCGGATAGAGGGGATGCATACATTTCCTTGCGAGCACGAGCGCGCCTTGTCATTGCAGGCTTTCGAGTGGCTTCCAGTTGGGGCCGTGATTGAAGATCGGATCCTTTGCCTTCATGGAGGCAAAGCACCGAAGCAGCCGAAACATGTGCGCACTGAAATGCACTGCCACCCAAGAAATCCTCTCCGTGTTTGACCAATACTGCGCTACTGGTACATCCTGAGCAGGCATCGGAGGCTCCGTGAACAATGTGGCAGAAGTGCGAACCATGCAGAGGCATGTGGGGTTGCATTCATTGCATTCGGAATCCTTCATCCCTAGCCGCATCTTGGTGCTGTGAGAGGCCTCTGCATGTGGCCCAGATCCCTCAGACGCCGTTTGAACAACGGATTACGGACCTCCTGCACAGCTCCTATCTCGTGCGACTGCACGTGAGTGCGGCAGATGGACTTGATTTTATGTGAGGGGCGTTTTGTTGCGCTGTGCTACTCGAGAAATAAGGTGGAGCGATCCGTCAGACAATGACTCTGCGGAGCAGCCAAGCTTACAGGCTCTGCCAGGGCTTGTACTCTCCGACGCGCTTTCCTGTGCCAGGTTCCGGGAGTGTCTCTCAACGAGACTCGCGACCCTGATGGAACTGGGCGCATTGTGAAGTTCGGCCCAGACAGGGTGGAGGCATGTGGCCGGCACTGGGGTGAGGCAGTGCCCGAGCTATCGCAGCAAAGGAGTTCCTGGAAAAGAACAAGCCTTTGTCGATGATCATCCGAGCACACGAGTGCGTCATGGCCGGAGTCCTGGACGATTCGCTTTTTGACTCCGGGGACTCATAGCGCCCCCTCCAATGTGCTTAGGACGGCTTTGAGCGCTTTGCCAACGGCCGCCTGATCACCGTGTTCAGTGCCACGGCCGGGCACCACCTTTCGGGTACGGCCGATTTCTTCTCCGTGTTCTGACTCAGCTGAATGCCAGGACTACTGTGGGCACCATAAGAATGCGGGAGCGCTCCTTTTTGTACGGCGCGATCTGACCATCGTGCCAAAGTAGCGGCCCCAAGATTCGCAGATCGCGGTGATCGCAGCACACCCCTAACTATGCCAGAAAAGGACGTCCTGGGAGCGCATCTTCAGAGGGGCATGTTTTTTTTTCGTCCGCTGAGGTTGATCTACCCTGTCGAGCGCACCACCACGATGTGGGATCCCATGGTCATGCAGCAGAGACCTCCGACACCCCCTCGGCCAGTCGGCATCCAAGCTTGAGTGGGCAGCAAGCAGCAAGAATCCATGCTCCCAGGTCTAGAACCTCACGGCTTAGGGGGGGGGGGGGGGGGGGGGGACGCGGCGAAGCCGAGAAGCCGAGGTGCCAAGGGCAAGGAAACTTGGCGAGGATGAGCTCTTCCGGCATGTTTTAAAGACATGTTCACATGACATCCCCCCCCCCCCCCCCCAGAATTGGGCGAACAGGCATCAAGCGACGTATCAAGACATGCCTTGCCTTTCGCCTTTTGCTGCCTTTTCCGTGCCAGGCCCGGCATAGATTGGTGAGGGCCCAACTCACCCGTAAAATAGGAGCCGCCTGTCTTCAAGGAAGACATGCGGAAAGCGCATAGACATGGATTTAGTGAGTGCGGATGTCTCCCGCGAAGTACTTCAAACCCCTGTCCCGGCCCTCTCTAGAGATCAGACCTCAGCTGCCGGTGCTTTGCTTCTTCTTCGTTTTGGGAGCAGCTGTTGCTTTGCTTTTGTTTGCTTTCTGCGGCTTGTGCTTCGAACGTCCAACACGGTCTCACCTCCGGGCTTCCTGGGCGTCAGCCCAGCTCGACGTGAAAGGTGCCAAGAGGGGCTCTTTGCCAAAAAGTCGACCCCGGCTTCTTGCATTCAGTCTGAATACGGTCGAGGGTGAAAGACTGCGTCAGGGTTGTTCAATATGCTTCGCGTGGAGTCAGGAAGTGTCTGGCTCTGCAGAGCAGAGTAGAGAGTGGACTCGGTAGACTGGGACGTCTTGCATTGCATTGATGCATTGATGTTGAAGTCCAATGGATCCTATGGCTACACGCCGGTGGGCCGGACCGCAGCCCAGAAGGCGGTCATGGAGAACCACAAGCAGGCGCGAGGGCGCGAGGGCGCGGGCGCAAAACGGGAGGGTGGAGGGAGGGCGGGCGGGGGGTGGGGGGGGAACTTCAAAGCTCCGCGTCTTCAAGGAGACGTTCTTTTCAACTTAACTGCTCCTTCAGCAATTGCGACACTCATGAGTATGTGTTCTTGATATTGTCTTCTTTCCACAAGTCGTTTCACTGACAACTCGTGTTTCTGGAGAATTCCTGCTGCAGTCCATGTTCATCCTGGGCATCGGGCTGCTCTTAATCCTCATCGTGCTGACCCTCGCGTTCTGCTACACCTGGTACTCTACGAAGGTGCCATTGTCCTGCACAGCCCCCTTGTCGCTGTACTTCTGGCTTGCTGGCATCTCCAACTTCTTCTTGGCGGTTCTGCTGGTGATCGGCATGTACCTGATGCAGGGGATGATGCGTCTCGGAGGAGAGAATCCAGCTCGCATTCCCTTCGTACCTCCGGTCTCCCCAACACTCTGAGAGTCTCCACTCCTCTCTAACTCAAATTCCACCGCTCCTTCTCTCTCTCTCTCTCCCTCCCTCCCTCCCTCCCTCCCTCCCTCTCCCTCCCTCCCTCCCTCCCTCCCTCCCTCTCTCTCTCTCTCTCTCTCTCTCTCTCTTCTCCTCACATCTCCTATCCGAACCAAAAAGACGAATCCGAGGCTTGCCGTCAGCCACCACGCCGTGGCGCAAATCATGGAGGAGCATGCCCAGGACCCGGCCCCCGCGCCGTCTCCAGTCCAAAAAACCCGGGGAAGAGAAGAAGAAGAGAGAAAGAGGAACACTCTGCAAAAGGAACCCCCCAAAAGCAACCCCCCAAACCCAATTCCCCCGTTGTCAACCTTTCCCAATATGAGCTCTCTCTCTCTCTCTCCCTGGCATCTCTCTGGCATCTCCCCCTCTCCGCGGCAGACCTACTCCATCGCCGGGGGCCAGCACTCGGTGTCCGCCGCCGCACACCGGTCAGAGTTCCAGGAGAGCGCGCTCCACTACGGGGGCGGCATGACGGCGGTTCTGGTGCTCCAGTCCGTGGTGATGCTCGCACAGATCGGCTTAGGGATCTATGGTATTGTACAAGTCCTACAAGTCCAGCGAGCAGACGACGGCTACTTGTGCGGTGAGTCCATCAATGTCTTTTGGACCTTGCTCGGACTGCACTTCATTCAGAACACCTGTGTTGTGGGCAAGCTGAGCAAAGGCTGCCGCGGAGTGCATCTCTCTGTGAGTGTCAGTGTGCAAAGACACGAAAGCAAACTCGGTCAGCTTGCCCTCAATCTGTTCCGTACTCGTATGCCTTCGCGGCCTTAGCCCTTAAGTGAGAGAGCGAGAGAGCCTCCCGTGTCTCGCCCAACAAATTCAGCATCACAGCGGATGCAGTGCTTCGCCTTGCATGATGCCCCGAATCAGACTTCAGGTGCGCTGGTTATCTTAGCTGTCTTAGCTCTTCCTTTCTTAAAAGGAATGCCCTCTCAAGGAAGGAAAAGGTTTCATGGGTTCGGCCTCTCCGGCGGGAGTGATGTTGGATTTCATGTACTGAAGCGCGCAGGCGCTCCTGCGCAGACTTCTTTGCTAGCAGCGTTGGTCTCTAAGGGCAACAGACTCGCTTGAAACGAAGGCTTGATGTGCTTCTGGGCAGTCTTTGAGTCACTTTTGAGTCACTTTTGAGTCACTTTTGAGTCACTTTGCGCCCGTGTTGAAAGCCTGGAGGCTTGCAACACCATCCGCGAGGCATCGACGAGGATGTGCTCGACAGTGATTAGGGGCCCTCCAGCTTCAGAGGCCCCCCAGAGGCCCCCCAGAGGCCCTCAGAAACAGATTTCTCAGAGCATTGCGGGGAGCACTGCGGAGTGCGGAGGCTCTCTCGGAGTGCCGTGCTCTCCAAGATGCTCTTGGGACCGAGAGAAGAGAGGGAGTCAGAGAAGGAGAGAGAGAAGCGGAGTTTCACTTCGGGGCCAGGCAAGGCCAGGCTTCAGCCTGCCTTGCCGCACGCCACGTGCCAAAGTGGTCTCATAGGCTTCTGGGATCTGAGATTGAGACGAAAGCTAAACCTCCTGTCCAGAGCAACGATTCTCTTATCATGTCTCCTGTCCTTCCCGGGCCTCAGGGCCGGTGCCATCAAGATCCATCAAGCCTGAGCTTCTTCATTTGTGCTTAGATCCTGGCTTACGGATAGCTTTTCGGTGTTCCCACCGAGGACAATCGCAAAGTAATTCAGCAAGTGCACCTTGCGTGCGAGACTTAAGGCAGATCTCAAAGAAGCTGCGAGGCCATGCAAGAGGGCAGCAACAGCAACTCACCAGCCCTTTTCCTCCACCCCACCCCTTTCGTTCTTTTAGTTTTTTTCTCCGTCACGGAAGGCTCCAACGCTTAGAGAGGCGCCAAGCCTTGCTAAGATGCAGGGCAGGGAGCCGGGCAGCCTGCGCCTGCGCCTGCGCCATGGAATCCGAGAGGGGGAACCTCCTCTTCAAGCCGACGCCCGAGGCCCTGGCTGAGGTGCAGAACATGTTAGCCAAGGCAGGGGGGGGGGGGGGGGGGGGGGGGGGCACTCTGAAGCAGCCTGCGCTTCGCTCCTTTGCACGCTTGATGTCACCCAGATGCGCCTGGGAGAGTGGTTGCCCAGCGGTGTGGACAGTGGATCCTAGGCTGCAGCGCCCTTCGAGAAAAGCTGGGGGGACGAATGCACGGGGATAAAGAAGCATGTCGCAGGCAGCAGCATAGCACCCTTCTTCTTGCAACTCAGAAGTTTCCGATGGGGAACAAACAAAGGCAAGGACAAAGAAGGCAAAGAGCCCGCAGACCTTCTTCCGCTGGTCATCTACTCGGACTTCGAGGCGGGGGTTGGCTCAGTGGCTCAGTTAGCTCCTACAGACTTGCTTTCTGGAATTTCAGCTAGACGTCGTCCCTGACTTCACATTGCCTCTTTTTGACTTTCTACTACCTAATCCCTGGAAGAGAGGTGGATGACCTCATGGCCATAGCCCAGATCTGGGAATGGAAGTTGGAGCGGCTGGGCCTCAAAGGATCCAAAGCAAGGCTGGGAAGAGAGAGAGAGAGAGAGAGAGCGAGAGAGAGAGAGACAGACCGGCCTATGCAGGAAGGAAGGAAGGGAGGAAGGGATGAAGGGAGAGAGAGAGAGAGAGCGAAGGACTCGGTAGGGGGAAGTACCTCGCAAGGGGGGATTGGGGGTTGGGGAAGACAAATGAGCTGCATGTGATGGCCACAGTCAGTTCACCAAGCTGCCCCGAACACAGGGGCAGGCGATGACGCCCGGGGGCTTGCCCCCATGCCCCCAGAAAGAAAGAAACGAAGGAAAGAGAGACGGAAATAGAGAAGGAAAGAATGTAGAGAAACAGAAGGAAGGAAGGAAAAAAAGGAGGAAAGAACGAACGAACGAAAACCCCGAAGACTGACCGCCAAGTGCGGCAAACGACCAGGCCTAGAAGGCCGGCAAGCCCCATCACAGTGGGAGAGTAAGGGGCTGCAGGCTGGGGGGGGGGGGGGGGTGGGAGGCGTGGGAGGCTTCGGGGGTTCGCGGTGTTGAGGCTGAGGGCAGCGTTTCAAGGCCGATTTTTGGGGGGGCTGAAAAGAAGCTGTTCGAGCGAACACCGCGCTCGCGTCATGTGCAAGGGTCCAAGGCCCACAGAACGACGAACTCCGCTGCAGATCCCGACATCTTCTCCTCCGACTGCGAACTGGAGGGCGCGTGTGGGGTCGGGAGCAACCCGCCCCTCATGCCGATTCATGCTTGCAGAAGAAGAAGCAGACAACCTCGCTGCGAGCACAGCAGTCGCTGTAAAGACTCTAGTACAGACACAGTAGACACAGTTGAATCCTGTAAGAGACCTCGCTACTAGACAGCCACAGCCCAGAACACCTCGCTTATGGAAAAGAGAAGCCTGGCATTGTGTGATACCCCGAAAACTTTAGAGACAGCCGCCGTGTGCACTAGGCCCGTGATCATCTGTGCGGCAGACTTCGTGCACAAAGACGGCTGCACTGTCTTCGAGAAGAAGCGGCTTTGCCAGCACGATCGCGGCTTCGGTAGCCCGGGGCTTCCGTGACTATCCAGTTGTCTGAAGACTCGCATTGCTGGCACTGGTGATTGTTTGGGGAGGGGAGGGGGGGGGGAGAACGTACACGTATCGGGCTGCCCTCAATGGGCTGCCACCAAGCCGTGATCGTGATTTCCAGGTTGCTCATGGCTCGGCTCATGCTGGGCCTCGAGCCTTGTCGAGACTTCCAGATCATCTGCCCAGACATCGCCAAGTGCGATGCGACGGTTTCCCAGCCGCAGCCAACAACATCGTCTGCAAGGTCAAGTAACACTCAATATGGGCAAGATTCATGGATTCATCACACCAGGACTAGCTCAGCCGGCTTAGCCTTAGCCTTGTCTTCAAAGGTTCGCCCACTTGCCGAATCTGTGTTGAGCTGCAGAGCGTCCTCCCTGGCAGCATTAGCGGAGGAGATGAAGACAAACAGACAGCATCTCACCTCACGCAGCCCTTCTGCTTGCTGTGCCATGTTGCACGTCTCAAGCTTATCTGTGCAGGAGATCAATCAAGTAGCCAGTGGCGAGAGCGACGTGGATTTCTACATCATTGCGCCGGGGCGAGGTCAACTGGGCGATGTGCGCCTCGTCATGTCTCATCTTTCCAAGCTTTCGCCGCAGCGCCCAAGCATTTCTCTTTGAACTTCGACTCCTAGGCGCCCGGCCAGCGCCCGATCAAGTGTTGTCTACCCAACGAGAGCATCAGCTAAACGACAATTGGCACTCGAATTGCTTGTAATCCTTGAGCCTTTGGAGCACCTTTGACTGCAGAAGACTCCAAAAGCAGTCCTGTTGAGGTTCTCTACGGTGGAGACACGCTACCCCTCAGCCTTTGAAAGGCTGTGCAAGAGCGCCCACGTGGTGATGTACACTGGCTCCTTCAACACCACTGGCACCCAACCCAGGGACTTGGAGTATCTGTGCAAGGTTGCGCAGTCCAAGCCCCTCATCGACATCTCCAAGTTCATCTTTTTTGGTCGGGCGGATGCTGATCCGGTGACGGCCAGTGCGGACAGCTTCGCATCTCCGACGCTCGCGATGAAGCTCTCAGAGGCTTCGGAACTGCTTCCAGCGGCCATCGTTCTGTTTGCGGAGGAGCATGCTTTCGGGGGACGTGACATTGAGAGCGAAGGGTTAGCTAAGGGCCAAGGGCTTCTCCGTGACCGTGAATATATAGCAGCGTCAGCTTCTAGCGGTCTAGCGGGTAGCAGAGCATGTGGGAAGAAAGCTTAGGCCCTGTGAGGGCGTGAGGGCGTGAGGAAAAAAGTTGTGTGAGTCAGAGTCAGAGAGCCTGAGAGAGTCAGAGAGAGTCAGAGGAGTTCCAGGGCAACCTGATCCGCCCCACGTCCTGGACGCTCTTCCGGGGGCACACACTGACGGAGGAGGAGACGAAGCGCTTTCAGGAGACCATCGCCCCCTTGGCCGATAGTGGCCCCTTCCAGAAGTATGCGGAGGCCCTGATGAATGACCCGCTCTTCCAAAAGGTAGCAAGCTACAAGCAGAGCACCGTCAAGGCTTTCGCACTCGGCACTTGTGATGCTCCACTTTGTGATGAAGTCTGCTTCCTCTTCGAGACGCTCAGCTTAAGAAGAACTGCTGAGATGACTGTTGCGCGCAGCTCTGGAGCTATTTCATGACTGTAGTGATACATAGTGATACTACTGATACGGCTACTACTGATAATGAAATGCTAAGATCAGGTGGTGCCTGGCAAACTGCCCGGAGTCGCTGCTGGATGCACAGGGAGACGGAGGAGAGTGGTGGATTGATCCGGAGAATGGCTTCTCAGGTCGTCCCGTGAACTGAACTTGCCTGCTGCATGCACTGCATGGCTTTCGATTGCACAAAGACAATGTGACATACTAACCCATCGGTTCATGGAACCTCGCCACTCGTTTCACTTGTTTGTGTGTGTGTGTGTGTCTCTCTCTCTCTCTCTCTCTCTCTCTCTCTCTCTCTCTGTCCGAAATCCGCTGGACGTGCAATGACGACTTCACACTCCACACAACAGAGTACTGCATGCGGGCCGGGATGTCATTATTTTAGCCTTTACAGAGCAGGGGGGCAGTGAGCCATCGACCATCCACTGCCCAATGCCCAGTGACCACTGCCCAAGGACGGTGGCAGATTGGCCGTCATATCAACAGACGGTCCTCTCTCGACGTAGTCATAGCAATCCTGTAGTAGATGCTGTAGGTTATTGCATCATTGACTGTTGTCGGTTCAACGCATACAGCATCAATAGGACTGTGGGTGGCACGAATACGTCGACGGATCAGTCAGGGCATGGTTTGCCTGGATCAGTGTTATAGAATGAGCCCCGTTGTGCCAGAGCCAGACCGGGAGGCATCGCCACAGAAGCTCACCCTGCACCAGAGAGGGCGCGCCGCTTGGGCGTGCGGGCATTGCAGCCGAGTATGAAGGATCCCAAGGATCAGGCGTGAGGGCCGTGAGGGTCGGGAGGGGGGAGAGTCGGCTCTGTCAGCTTTGTCAGCTTCATGAAGGATGAAGAGAGGCTGTTTACAAAAGGAAACAAGTCTTGCTCACGAGACGTCGCACACGAGCAGGCGTTTCTCCAGAAGATGCGTGACGTCTTGGAGGAGTATGTGCTGAAGCACATGGACAGCCACTGGAACCCTTGATTTGGTTTTGCCGCCCTCCCGTAGATTGCCTTGTGAGATGTGAAGTTGTGTGACGAGAGGCTGACAGAAGCATGATTTGCAGTACTTTTGGGAGGGTAGTGGTGCCTGTACCATACACAGTGCCAGCGGCACGTCTCACTCAGATTCACACAACTGACCACCATTGCATACGTGCTGCTATTTGTGGTGGCTATGCAGGGACACGTGCAAATGCTCTAACGCTCCGGGCAAAAACGGTGTTCGAAGCTGCGCTTGGCCCCTACGCCGCGCCGCTCTGGGCGCTTCAAAGTGTCCAATCCCTTCTCAGGGCTTGACAGCAAACCTTTCAGACCGAGTGCTTCACTGAAGAAATGTTTGTTGGGGGGCAAGTTTCCCGCGGCTCGAACGCTTCGAAATCCCAATTTGCGACCTGGATCTTTCGCCACAAAGCCAGTGTTGAACAGTGTTTGAGGCGGCCTGAAATCCACCACCCCACCCGAACAAAGACTCGGCAATTACCTTGCACTTTGCCTTAGGATCCTTTCATGGAGAGAGAAGCCGGCGATTGGCACAATGATCACCGCAGCCAACTCGAGCCGTGGCACACGAACGCACTTCAGAGACACCAACAGTCAGCTGACAAGCCTCTATTGGGCACTACTCGGCATCCCGTCTGTCCCGCACTGGCAGCAGGTCAGCGGCTGGAGGTTACCCGCTATTATCGGTCATTTTAACAGGCCATGGTTTTGCCGCAAGCCGCACTTTAACGTGATTGAAGGATGTGTGATCCTGGTTTAACGTTTCCACATCATCGTCCTAGACCCGGAAAGCCAGCAATGGACGGCGACAGCGTGGACAACATGGCTAACACGAGCCAAGTTGAAGACCGAGAGGCAAGTCCCTGAGATGTCCCTTAGAAGCCCCGGAAATTCCCCCTTATCTTCGTCCCTTGATCTTCGTGAGATGGGATTTCCGTCACCTGGGCAGGTCAGTTTTGAGCAAGGACAGCAAGGACAGCAAGGAGAGCAAGGAGAGCAAGTAGAGCAAGTAGAGCAAGGGCAGCAAGGCGCTGCAAATGGACAGGATGCCGACCAGGCCCGGGGTAGGCATTCCCAGTGTGTTGCAGCATGGCAGTTGTTTCTGTAGGTCGAAGTGGCCGAGAACAATGGTGAGGCACTGCCTTCAGAGCAAAGTATGCTCCAGCACTTTTGTTCTTCGTCTGCGCTTTCGCAGGCGCTTCATCTGGCGGAGCCTGTAGAGAGTGTGGCTGACATGGATGCGCTAGAAGCAGAGGACCCGGGCCCTGGCATCTTCGACGTAGTGCGGTCTCACAGAACTGAAGACCGTCCCACAGACATCTCTCAAAAACATCACCAGGCCGCCGAGCAGAGAGAGCGCCTGTGCCCATTGCTGTTTTTCTGCCGCTGCAACGCGATCCGCTGTAGAAAGAAAGCTCCGGGGGGGAGCTCCTGGACAGCAGAAGTCCTCGCTCCCACTGTGCGCTGCGCCAGGTGGGCGCAATTTTCGAAGGACGAGCTCATGATTTTCAAGGACCTCCCGCAATCGCACGCCTGGCTCCCTGAGATGCTTGCCGGGGGGGGGGGGGGGTGAAGACATTCTAGCAGGCAGCTCCTTGGCCTGCAGGTCAAACCCCAGAACTTTGATCCCTCGATCGACCAGGCGAGTTTCGGACGCGAAAGCGAGAAAAGTCTTAAAACAGATTTCACTCATAGCCTTCGGCAGGACAACGGGCTGATGCCGCGCACAAAGGGCGACAAGGAAGCGGAGCATGCTGAGTCTTGTAGGAATATCCACAGAAGATGCAAGCGGGTACTTGCCACACCTGCATCCGATGCATTATTCCAGCTGCTGCTGCATGAGTGCATGAGGAGAATGGCGAGGAAGATCGCCACGCTCGTCGCCGCGATCGTGGAGATCGTGGTGACCGCGGGGACCGAGGTGGGGACCGATGTGGCGATAAATTGGCGAGCACTTGATTCGGTAGAGCCACGTGTGACGTGCGAAGCAGCAGGAAACAGCGTAGTAGCAGACTCTGTAGACCAAGCCACAAGTCTTTCGGCGTCCTTCTGGCGTCCTTCTTGCTGCGTGACAGGAAGGAGGAATAACCTTGAGCATGACTACGAGCATGAGGACTCAAGCGCATCCAGCTCTTTTCTGCGAACGTTTCCGATTTCCGGCCACTCCATGCTTTGAGCGGGTGAGGAGAAGGATTGGCGCCGACACGAGCGGCACGACCGCCGCGAGCGCCAAGGAGACCGCCAAGGCGAGCGCCAAGGCGAGCGCCAAGGCGAGCGCCACGAACGGGAGCGGCATGACTGGCACGACCGACACGACCGCCACGACCGGGACAGGCAGGAAACATTGAAAGTTGCGGGCAGTTGTGGACGTAAGTCACACATGTCACTCAGCCTCACCTGGGGCAGGTGGGGAAACACTTGGGGCTATGGTGGTCAGGCCAAGTTCGCAGGGCGAAGCGAGTGCGGTATGGTGCATCAGCTACTACCGAGCCTCTCCTGCGAAGGTTACAGATCCTTGGGCCCAGTATGTGTCTGTGGCCGGCTTCATGTGTTGAAGGGGGAAGGGCAGGGAAGCGAAGGGAAGGGAACAGTCCCGCAAGGGAAGGGAAGGGGGCGGGGGGAGGTAGAGACTGAGAGAGGTGCTACTATAGTAGCTGCGGGGGTGCTCAGACTCCCTTGAGCCAGGGCCAAGAGGAGCCCGAGCCCCAATGGGACATGCCAGACACCTCGGTGGTCCACGAAGGTAGTGCCGACCTCGGACGTTTAACAAAACAATGCGCCTTGCCTGTGACTTCGACTTGCAATGCCTGATACGCCATGTGATTTTGCACCACTGCCTTCCACCGCCTTTGGCACCCCTTGCACCCAAAGGCCTGCTGGACTGCACGCTGGGTGACATTCGGAAGGCTTTGCAGCCACGTACTTCATGACTTCATGCGTCTTTGGCCCGTTGTGATTTTTTGTTGTGCTGTTATGGCTTTTGCAGTACAATGCGCCGCCTGCTCCGACCAACACGAGTGCCTACCTAGGATGCCGCTGAGTCTCGGGGATTCTAGGTCCAATCGATTTGCAGCGGGTTGCGGAGCAAACTGAGGTGAGCGTAAAGGGGGTATGTCTGAGCCGCCGCTACAGCCGCTGCAGCCACTGCAGCCACTGCAGCCGGTACAGCCGGTGCAAATGGCCGTCCGACACTCAACGCTCTTGAGGAAGGAATTCACACGACGCTGGAAGGCAGTTGTGCAAGTTCTGAGTCAAGATTCGTCCCTGAGAGCTTCTGCGAGGCCCCTGAGCCCGAAGTCCAGGTTGCCGACGCACGGAAGGACAGCTTGATGTTTTTACCCCTCCCCTTGTATTCCGGTTAGTGTGCCTATTGTGCCTCCAACGGCATGGGTCCCCTTCAATGGTCCTTCAATGGCAGGAGGACAAGCTGAAGTCCCGAGGCCTCAGACTGCGCTTGTGTTGCACGTTTGAGGCAGATCTTTTCCTTGTGTTCCCGCTGACTGCGCGGGCAGCAGGGTTCATGTGTTCTTTGCGTTCTTTGCGGTGTTTGCCTCGTGTTCTCTAGTTCCATGAAGTTGGTCAGGGTTCTGTGCCTTCTGCTTGTTTGGGTTGCCTTTGCCGCAATTTGTGTGCAGCTGCCAGGCTTCAGCAAATGGTTTGCCAACGACAAACCAACCGAGGCAAGATGCTGGTGTTTAAGCCAAGGCAGAGGCCAGTGAGCGCTCAGAGCCTTCTCTCTCCATATTTCAGAGGTGAAGCAAAACGAGCAAAACGACGAGGAGTTCGAGCGATTCGAGCGTAGCGAGGTGCCGGTCGTCAGCGCCCCCGCGCCAGTCACGCCGGTGGCACCCGCGCCCGTCGTTGTAGCGCCGGCGCCCCTCGGACTCTCAAAAAGAAACGGGAACTAAGAGACAGAAAAGAAGAAACAGAAGAAGAAGACAAAGAGAGGGGCTCTCGCTCGCGCCTTGGCGCGAGGTTCGCCCCAAGCCCTAAAGAAAGAAAGAAAGCGACGAGCATCACACGCGTTACGGGCAGCAGTCCCAACAGACCTCGTACCCGAGCGCCGCTCGACGCAAGCCCCGCAGAGTCATGCTCGCTTCGGAAGGAAATGCATCACGCGGACTTCGCTCTTCGGAACAGCCTTTCAGCGGGAAGACAGAGACTTGACTCCGAAGAAGAACAACTTGGCATTCTGAACCGGAACCTTTGGCCGGAATGTGATGCAATCTGAAGAGAGTGTGGTGCACACACACACACACACACACTGAATCCTATGCTCAGTCATTATCGTCAATGCTGTTCCGCTGCCACGTGTCACACATACCCACACTTCCACCAGAGGTGGAGTGGTAGAGGTTGTATGCATCTTCCATAACACCAATTTTGAGCGGACGGCCGTTTCACGACAGACCGACTTACGTAAACAAGCGCCCTTCGGGGAGCTCGCTTGTGGGCTGCGGCTGCAGTTGCAGGAACGGAAGGAAGGCAGGAAGAGACAACTTGAGATCCCTGCTTAATGTGTGCTGCAGATTCCACACGATGGGAAACGTCAGTACGAGCACGAGTACCCAAAAGGACAGCCCGCAACATCTGGTGCGCGACTGCATGGGGCGAGAGGGTCATGAGCTTCACACCCGCGGAAAGAAGAAGAGAGCTGGTAAAGTTACACAGAGAACCTCAGAAAGGAGTCCCACTCTTGCCCCTTGTCATGGTAGGCATAAGTGAAGTGTTGTGCTTGAGGCCTGCTCCAAAGTTGGCAGCGCCCTTGGCGCCGATCGCTGAAAGGCCTCTCCCTCCCTTCCTCTTCGCTCTTCAGGTAAGGTTCAGGTAAAGGCTAAAAAACACCCGACCACATGCTTTTCGCCAATCATGTCGCAGGCCCACTGCACAGCCAATGACGCCAGGCAGGAGAGCAAACCACTAACTCTCAAATTTTATTAAGCAAATATATTAACGAAGCATAACGAAGCATATGAGATATATGATTCGCCTGCGGACCATGCAGGTGTGCTCACAGGTGGCAACCACGCCGCCCACGGCAACCATGGCAACAATAGCGGCCTCCACGGAAATCACGTGGGCAATCACACGGGATTGCGCAATGCGCACTCGGCTCAGCCCCCTTTTTTTGGCACAATGTGGATCAGAACAGGCGGCTACGCCCATTCAAGGAATTGAAGTGAGTCTCGCCACCGGCCTCTCAGCCTTTGCATGGAGCCTCGCAGTAAGTTCTGAGGCCCTCGGCGCATGTCCGGAGCTCGATGCAGAAGCAGCGCACAGGCCAAGCTCAAGCTCTCGTATGCCCAGGCAGGCAAAGGCTCACACTGGGGCGAGAGGGCCGGGCACCTGATCCCAAGGCTCAGCAGAGGCCCTTGAGCTCTTGAGCCTTTGAGGCTCCCGCCCCGTCCCAGAAGCACGGCACCAACACTGCGGGCAGCCAAATCCTCTCCATGATCGGTGCCAGGAGCGATGCTATAGGGCCAGCAGAGCAAGTCAAGTCGTCTCTCCTCTCCTCCCCTCTCCACATTGCACCATGCTGGATGCTCCAAAAAGCATCTTGTGAGAGCAGGCAGAAGGAACCAATGGCACAGCAGGCTGCAGTCTCAGCGCTTTATGCGCTTTGTGCTGGAATTTTCTCGTTGGCTCTCGCGCTCATGGAGCACAAGAGGAACCATCCGCGAATGTTCCGAACAAGGTGACGGCAGCAGCCTTGCGGCCCCTTATGAGATTCCAGAAGAATCGAGCTGACGGCGTATAGTTCACTGGACCTTGTATCTGCTTAACATCTCTGCTTAGGTCGCGGATTTGTTTCAGATCGCCAAAGGGCAGGAGTTGCCGCCGCCTCTGACCCGTCTCTTCGTCTCTTGGCGAGGGAGTGAGAGCCACGCGCCGCTGCTGAGGCCACCCATTCCAGCCATGTCTAGCCAGTGCCCGCCCAGCCACTGGGTGGCAAAGACGCGGTAATATGTACGTATAGATATATATATATATATATATATATATATATATATGGTACCCCCCCCCCCATATGCCCACACTTTTTCCTCTCAGGTGCCATGGTAGGGTTTGGAGGCTTAGGTTTCGAAGCCTCCGAGAGCAGCGAGCACTGTACCAATGTTTTAGGCACAAAAAGAGCAAAAACGCTGTACTGTCCCAAAAAAACCAAAACAAAACAAAGTTTGGAGACCTCCAGGCCGGAGGAGCCCAAGGTCTCCCAACTTTGGTTTTTTTGGTTTTTTGGGACAGTACAGCATTTTTGCACTTTTTGCCTTAAAAGATTGGTTTTTTGGGACAGTACAGCATTTTCGAGGCCTGGGACTGCAAAAACGCTGCACTGTCCCAAAAAAAACCAATCTTTTTAAGCCAAAACAAGCAAAAATGCCGCACTGTCCCAAAAAAACCAAAAAAACCAAAGTTGGGAGACCTCCAGGCCCTGGAGGAGCCCAAGGTCTCCCAACTTTGGTTTTTTTTGGTTTTTTTGGGACAGTACAGCATTTTTGCATTTTTTGCCTTAAAAAGATTGGTTTTTTGGGGACAGTACAGCATTTTCGAGGCCTGGGACTGCAAAAACGCTGTACTGTCCCAAAAAAAACCAATCTTTTTAAGGCAAAACAAGCAAAAATGCCGCACTGTCCTAAAAAATCCAAAAAAAAGCAAATTTTGGAGACCTCCAGGCCCTGGAGGAGCCCAAGGTCTGCAAACTTTGGTTTTTTTGGTTTTTTGGGACAGTACAGCATTTTTGCACTTTTTGCCTTAAAAGATTGGTTTTTTGGGACAGTACAGCATTTTCGAGGCCTGGGACTGCAAAAACGCTGCACTGTCCCAAAAAAAACCAATCTTTTTAAGCCAAAACAAGCAAAAATGCCGCACTGTCCCAAAAAAACCAAAAAAACCAAAGTTGGGAGACCTCCAGGCCCTGGAGGAGCCCAAGGTCTCCCAACTTTGGTTTTTTTTGGTTTTTTTGGGACAGTACAGCATTTTTGCATTTTTTGCCTTAAAAAGATTGGTTTTTTGGGGACAGTACAGCATTTTCGAGGCCTGGGACTGCAAAAACGCTGCACTGTCCCAAAAAAAACCAATCTTTTTAAGGCAAAACAAGCAAAAATGCCGCACTGTCCTAAAAAATCCAAAAAAAGCAAAGTTGGGAGACCTCCAGGCCCTGGAGGAGCCCAAGGTCTCCCAACTTTGGTTTTTTTGGGTTTTTTTTGGACAGTACAGCATTTTTGCATTTTTTGCCTTAAAAAGATTGGTTTTTTGGGGACAGTACAGCATTTTCGAGGCCTGGGACTGCAAAAACGCTGTACTGTCCCAAAAAAAACCAATCTTTTTAAGGCAAAACAAGCAAAAATGCCGCACTGTCCTAAAAAATCCAAAAAAAGCAAATTTTGGAGACCTCCAGGCCCTGGAGGAGCCCAAGGTCTGCAAACTTTGGTTTTTTTGGTTTTTTGGGACAGTAAAGCATTTTTGCACTTTTTGCCTTAAAAGATTGGTTTTTTGGGACAGTACAGCACTTTCGAGGCCTGGGACTGCAAAAACACTGTACTGTCCCAAAAAA